GCAAGTGGGTTTTTTTCCCCTTGAGGGGAGCAGGAGGTCTTGAGCTCTGCGCCCAGCGCCGTGTCCTGGCTGCTGTTTCGGACCCGGTCCCAGCGGTACAGGCAGAGGAGCAAACCACGAGGGTGGTTGGTGCTTCTGGCCTCTTTTTCCAGAGGGTCACCCAGACTGACCTTCCCTGTGATCAGGACAGCTGGGCACCAACTCCTCAATATTGCCAGAATGAGCTATTTTGTATTTTTCCATTTAAATCTCATTTGAAGGAAAGTCCATCTGGTTCCCTTCGTGCTGCCAGAGGAAAAAGGCTGCTCTCAGGTCAGCTTTCTACGGGGCATCTCCTCGCTGGAGACCCAGGCGAGATCGCACGGCCAGGACCTCTGTCTCTTCGCCTTTCCATCGCAGCAACAAGGTGGGGTGGAGCAGGGCCCCCATAATTGAACGCTAATTGGGGATGGCAAATGAGCAGGACCCTGAAATTGCAAGCTGAAGATGAAGTGACAGAAATGAGATTTGAATTGTGACCTTTTTCCATAAGCGGGAGTATTAACTAAGTGTGACAAATGGAGGGGGGGGGAAATAATCTTGCCTTTGTTAGTCCTTGGGCCCGGGGCTGACGTGGAGCTGGGGCCTTTGGTCCGCTCCCGGGGAAGCACAGCTGGTGATGCTGGACATCCCTCCTAGTCAGTCCAGGGTTATTTTGGAGGCTGGACCCTTTCCATCATCAGTTCAGGGAGCAGTTTCTCTTCTTGCCTTCAGGGTCACTATTTTGCATCAAGCACCAACCTTGTGGCAGAGCACTAAGGGAGGGTCCCGCTGGGGTTTGGCACCGCTGCTTTTCCCCTGCCTTGCTCAGCCCTGCACCAACATCTGGCAGCCTCTGGAAATTCAGGCCCAAGTTGTTTGCTGTTGCAGTGGCAAAGGGGGTTGTGATCTCATGGATCGGCCTCATCCATCACCAAGCGTGTTCCTGTCACAGCTGCCAGGTTTTTTTCCCCCCCGTGAGTTTGCCCCGAGGTCCTGGCTGGGTCGTGGCTGTCGCTGGCCCCTGAGTTACGGTTCACGCTGGGACACGGGCAGAGCCGTCCCCAGTTCAGGGACCGCTCGATGCTGGGCTGGGCACCTATTGCTGCTGGCTCGATACCGTGACGCTGGGGTCTGGCTCGGCTGACTCCATCTCAGTGACTTCCCACTTTCCCAAGACTCTTAAGAAACAGTTTTTTTTTTTTCCTCTGTTTATTTTTTTTAGCAGCTCTGCCCTGTCTCTCCATTTCTCTCTATGGGGTTATTTCTGGCTGTGCCTCCTCAGAAGCTGGGAGATGCCACGTCCATTCTGGGCTGCTGCTGCGGGCAGGTGGAGCTGAATGTTTCCTCCTTCCCTGATGGTTTTCCCAATTTTCCTATTTACTTTTGCAGAAAGATGCTCTTTGGGGGTAGGACTCTAAGAAAGAAGATTTCATCGAAGATTTCAAATGAACAGCCTGTGACACCCCTTCCCCAATAACGCGTCACTTTTTTATTGTTCATATTTCAATAACTAAAGGTCAAACGGAAGCCCGGCTGGTTGGAAGTCTGATGTTAATTACACTAATGAGCAAAAGTCTCTGGCTTACTGCTTCATGCCTCACTCTCCGGGACCCTGGGACAGTATGACGTTGGCCGGCCAGACCCTGAGCACTGTTGAGTGTCCTGCAGCTGTGAGCAGCAGCATGGGGGTGTTGAAGGGCTCCTGGGGTCCGTGTTCAGGGCTCCTGGGGTTGTGGGCTCAGGGGGGCTGCAAGTCTCATGGTCAGGGATGAGCTGCAGATTCTCTGCCGTGTGTGTCTGCTGGCTCCAGCTGGGAGGGTTGGTAGGTGTGTCCCAAGGGATGCTCCTGCCCTAGAAGAGCTTGGCTCCAGCATCCTGATCCGGTCCTCTGGAGGTACAAGTGTCTCTGCTGATTTCATGTGACTCCCAGGTCCCATTTGGCTTTTGGTTTTTCTGCTGAATTTCTTCTTCAAGAGGCTCCCGTGCACAGAACTTGCACCGGAGCCTCCTTGATGGAGAGGCAGGTTCTGTGCGGTGCCTGGGGAGAGCAGACTCATCCCCCAGCACCTCCATCAAATTATTTGAGAAAAGAGTTAAAATATAAGTTTTAAAATACAAGGCACATGGGTTAGACAGTGGCGAGTGCTCTGATGGTACAAACACATGGAGGGCTGGGGAGTTGTGCCCCTGCGGCCAGCGCGTGGGACCGGAGGAGGTTTTAGGCCACTTCACCCACATGCTGGTGGGTCCCATTTCACAGGGATTAAAATGTATTTGCAGGCAAAAAAAACCCTGAAGTAACCTGAAACGGAGGTTGCTAAGTGACGCAGGAGCTGCCAAAACCAAATGCAAAGACCATCAGCTGAGACCCTCATCGTTCAGAGGGCTGGGAATGATGGGCTCACGTAACCCGTGTGGGTGTTTGTTAATCCAAGCCCAGGCAGTCTCTAAAGTGAGCTTAAACGGCACATTCACACTGCACAGGCAGGTCCAGAGGCAAAGCTGCTCTGTGCTTTGCTGCCCGCCTGGAGAGCAGGAGGGGGCCGGTAAGCACAGGGAGTTGAGCAGATTTTGGTTTATTGCCATTTGGTTTCAGCGGGTTCGCAGTAAATCCATAGGCATGTCCAGCTTGCTGGAATTTGTTTGAAATTTTGCTTTGTCCATCCCCGGTGGCAGAGCCTGGCCTCCAGGAGCGGCAAGCCGAGCTGTGCTGTCACAGTTGGACTTAACTCTTGGATGGCAACGCCTCCGAGCGTCGCCCGCGGTGCCCCCTCCACCCCTGCCAAAATGCGTGGAGGCGCAGGTCCCGGGCACATCGCTGCAGTGCAAAACAAACCCCCTCCCCTCCCAGTTATCACATCACTTGGGCAGCAGGGGAGCCCCACCTGCTCTGCAGCTGCAGGCACCACGGACCTGAAACAGGTATTTGTGCATCGACACCAGCGGGGCTGTGATCCCTCGAAGCACCTGCACTGGATTGACCCTCCAGACGAAATCCTTGCTGAATTGCCCCACGTTGTAGTCGCTGGTGGTGCTGGAGCTTCCCCCTGCAGGTGTTGAGGGCAGGCTGAGATGTTTCTGGGTTGTTTCCCTATAGCGGGGCTTAGTTTGGGTTGCTCTCGCCTTTAAGTGTTGGGTCTGAGTGACTTCCCCACGGCTGTGTGCATCAGCCACCCGTGCTGCAGGGTCCTGCGTGGGGACGTTCCCCCAGTGAGGAGATGCCATCGTGCCTGGGATCTGTGCTGGGCTTTTCCCATCCCGCTGCCAGCCCTGGGGCAGTCCCTGTCCCTGTTGTCGCAGCCCGGAGAGGCTGGTCCATCCCCTGGCTCCCCCAGCAAAGCCTGGCAGGAGATTTCCTTGCTGCGATTGCTAATGGGGGGGGATTTTTAGCACGGCTCCTTCCTTGCTAGCTGCTTCCCTGTTGGCGTGCGTCCCTGCCAGGGCACGACTTGAATTGTGTGCGTGTGCATCCCCACCGCTGACAGCAAAACGGGAGCGTGGGGGAGGATGGGGTGAAGGGCCGAGTGTATCGCTGTGACCTTCTGGCAGCTGGAAATGTGGGTGCTTCCCCCCCCACCCCCCACCCCCGGGGAGAAGTCCAGCTCCCCAGGCAGAGTGGACAAGAAGAAGGTCTTGGAAGAGGGAATGAACTGGGGTTGTCAGTCACCAGTTGAAGCCCAGCCACTTTGCACCCCTCCAGGCGTGGGGGGGGACGGGGACACCCGGCTCGGGGGGGGGGACGGGGAAGCGGAGCCCCTGCCTGGCACCTGCACGGCTGAGCCTGAGCCGGTGGGTTTTCGGGGAATCCCTCTGTCTTTTCCTTTGGGGTAGCGATGCGTTTCCTGGAGGAATTTCAGCTTTTCTGGAGTGCTGCACACTGTCAGTTCTCCGGGGGCCCCGAAAGTGAGGTTTTGCCCTCCCGTAAGCAGCGGGCAGGGGACACCCACCCTCCTGGGGGTACCTCTTGGCTCCCCATTGTCACCGGGGGGTGTCCCCACCCCAGTCCTAAGGGGTACGAGCCCTCTGCCACCGGGTCTGGCTGCTGCTGTAGAGCCGCGTCCTTATTTCCCTGCTGTTCTCCACCAGTTCCAGGTGAGGGAAAGCTCCTTTGTCTAAGGCTCCCCAAGCCTCTCTCAGCAGGAATTAAGCTCCCCAGTCGCTGCTGCTGCCCTTGGGCAGCTCGGCCGGGCAGGAGCAGGGGGCAGGGGTGAGTCGGGGCAGCTGCCGAGCTGTAACAGCAGCATCTCTGCATGGGTATAACCGAACGGGACCCGAGTCTGGGACCATTTGTGGTCTGTTAACCAGGAGAAGCTGGATTTCCCCTCAAAAAAAGGAGCTATTTAAATTCCCTCTTTCTTTGTTACAGGCAAATTAAACCTGATCCAGAGAGCTCAAAATTAGCAAAACTGTAGCAAATCATTTGCTTGCGGGTTGGTGTCCTCCATCTCCTGTACCAGTTGTCAGGGCTGGGAGCGTGTCTCTCGACCCCACAAAGTGCCCAGGGCGGGGACACGGCACAGGGGGTCTGGCCAGTGGCACTTCTGCTTCCAAGTTGGGGTCGAATCTCCCCAAAGGAGAGGATCCCTGGAGAGCTGGCCGTGGGCATCCGCTGCGTGGGTGCCGTCTCCTCCCGAAATCCCTGTGTGTGATTGCCGGGAAGCGTTGCCGCGTCTTCCCTTGCTCCACCCCGGAGCTGGCCACGGTGGTGGTGGTCTCGGCTGCTCTCCTGTTTGTAAGAGGATTCTTCAGGGTACAAAGTGCTATATAATTTTATATATATATATATATATATATATAACTAGACAAGCTGCAATGGTCAGGTCATTCATCGGGCTGGAGCAACACTAAGGGTCCTTCCCCTCTCTGGGAGTTGCCTTGTGTGCCATGTCCTTGGGCTTCGGGGGCATTTATTTGAGATTTCTGTGCTGGACACTCTGGAAAGGTGATTTACAGTTGTCTCCTTACGCTGTTTTCTCCAGAGGAGCTGAGGCTGGCTGTGCCGGACACTTTGCCATTTAAACGTCCCCAGTCTCGGATGCTGGAGCAGACCCAGATGTCGGTGCAGCCCCGGACCTGCAGAACGGTGAGTGCTCCCCGGGCTCGAGTGGGGTGAGGAGGGGTCAGCATCATCACTGCCCTTGCACCCCACTGGGTTTGTGCGCTGGGACGCTTGAAATCCAGCTCATTTTGAGCTCCAGGCCATCCCTGCTTGGTGGCACTACCTCCCGCCTCATCCCCACCCTCATTTTGCAGCGTGGAGCACTCTGTGCTGTCGAGCTGGAGGTTTATCCCACGTAACAGCTGAAAAATCTCCTGCCTGTTGCCACGACCCCAAAATGAGCAAAAAGTAACTAGCGGGGACGTGATGTGCAGCTCAGGGGTGTAAAGCTCTGAGGTTGCTGGCAGACAGCAGCGGGGACCCCAGCCTCGGCCACGCCACGATGTGGGCGCAGCACCGCTCAGAAGAGCAGCGGTTCAGGGTTTGAACAAATTCCATGGGATTTGGGAGCCCATCAGCTCCGTCCTGGCAGCGGGACTCTGGAGGCTTTGCCCTTGCTCTGCTGTCGAGGTGCCAGACATGGAATTAAGTGATAAGGCCCTGCCATCGCCTTCCCCTCCCGCCTCGGAGACTTTGACTTTTGGGAACCTCTTTGGGGCTGCATATGGGAAAGGAGATTCTCTCCTGGTCCCACAGCCACAGCTGATGCCCTGAAGCTGTAGATCTGGGGACCGACGCCAGCGTGTCTCGCTTCAAATGTCACTGCTAGCTGCAATCTCCAGCCTGGAGGAGATGTGGGGGTGGCGCAGCTGGACACCCCCCCCCCCCCCCTCCAAGGCTCAGCTGGCCCCTCCAAAATCTGAGCAGCAAGGCTGGGAGGGATCTGCTCTCTGCAGGGCTGGGACGAGTCCCCTGTCCCCCTCCCCTCTCAGGGGCTCATTACAGTGTGGGGGTTGGTTACTCCCACCTGGCAGGACAAGGTATACTTTGCAATGTCAAGCGTTATTTCACCCTGTAATGGCGTTTTGTTTTCTTTGCTCTCTGCTCCCATGATCATAATTGGGATGGCAATAAAATTTCCAATGCAGCAGCTGTAGACGGGTCGTAAAAAATGCATTCAGCCCAGGATTGGTGCTGAGCAGAGCTGAAAGGTGGAGGGAAAGCTGTCGCTCCGCAGTCCCCTTGCCTGGGATTCCCGCTCCGAGCAGGGTTTCCAGCAGATCAGGGGCTCCACATCTGCACCTCTCACCCCTCTGCATCCGCAGAGGCTTGCTTGCAGAGCTACAAGTTTGTTTTCCTCCAGAGAGCTGAGCAGTTCTGCTGGAACCAGGTTGTTTTCCACCCATGGCTGCCTCTCCCGCCCTGTTGTCAGAGCAGACATCTGTCAGTCTGGCCTGTCAGTCTGTTCATCCTGCCCACGAGTCCCGCGGTCTGGTCAAATGAAAGCATCCCCAAATGATTCATCGCCCTCCCGAGGTGCTGTGCCTGGCAGCAGCCGGCCCCAGGGCTCTGGGCTCCCTCTTTGGAAGGAAGCTGGGCTCGCCAGCATGCCGGGCACCCCTGCACCCCCCCCGCCGTGAGTGAAGGCACCCCAGGGGGCTGAGCCCTCGGGAACAGGGTCCTTTCGGAGGGTTAAGCCTGGAAAGGGCTGTTGTTTTATCCAGGAGCCTCAGGGAGGTGGCCAGGACTACCTTGACTTAATTTTGTGCGGCGCCTGGCACCTCAGTGCTGCTGGCAACCGGGCTCGCGGGTGCCACCGTGGTGCAGGTAAGGGATTAGGAGTTGACTTTGCCATCAAAGCTCCAGCACTGGCAACTAGTGGCACTGATCACAGCCTGATTTATGCGCCGGCCCTCCGAGGGGCTCCGACCAGCATCACCCAGATGCTGAGGGGAATGAACGACCTCATCTCACGAGGGCTGGCGCGTTGGACCAGGTGGACAAATGAGGTCGTTTGCAGGGGCAAAGCCTGTGGGGGGGGCAGCTGGCACCCGGGCTGCTGCGAAGCCATCGGCCGGCAGCGCGGGGAGGGCTCTGATGGGTGCTGCTGGCCGGGCTGGGGCTGGGGCTGGCCACATGTATGCCAGCCCGAGCACTCCACACCCCCCCAAGCAGTGTCATCAATCAGCTTTCTGAAAGGTGGCTAATTACAGCATATGCTTTTCTGTTATGATTATTAATCACCCTGCTTCTTCATTCATTGCGGAGCTGTCAGGGTCAGAGGAGCAAAGGCGCAGGGTCCCTTCGTGTGAGGAGGTGGCACATTCTCCCTGCTGCTTGGGAGCCCCTTTGGGTGATGTGTCCTCAGGACAGGGGTGTTCCCGTGGCGTGTCCCCACCACCGGCCCCAGCACAGCCCGTGGACATCCAGCGAGCTCCCTCCGTCCCCTCCCACGTGGCTCCAGCCAAGCGTGGCACACCAGCTTTGGTGCTCTCCTCCACCGAGGTTTTGCTCTCAGGGTGTTGCTCCCAGGCTGTGTTTCACCAGCCCTGGTGCAGAAGGTAAGCGATGAGCTCGTAAAGCGGCCGCGCGCCCCGGGAGGCAGGAGGGGGAGCCAGCTGCAGGAGAAGGAGCAAATTCCCCTCTCTCATTTATTGATCTTTATTTGTGTCTCCATGGGGGCAGGAGCCCTCGCCAGGAGCGTAGCCCTGTTTTCCGAGATGGTCTGCTCGTAGCCAGGAGACGTGCGTGCCTGACTGTCACGTCTGTGCTGGCCCGGGGCTGTTACGAGCCTGGGTTTTATAAATCTCTCAGCAACGTCGTGGCGTGGGCTTTAAAACTGACAGATGCCTGCAGGACATCTCCCCGGGGGCTCAGACTCCCCATCCCCGCGCCCAGTGCTGGGCCGGGAAGAAACCTGAGTACAAGCAAACCTTGGGCCTTGGGCTGGTTGAGATGGGGAGCTTGGGTTCACACGGGGAGCTTTGCAAAGCCCTGAGTCCCCGGGCTGTATCCTACCCTTGGGGAGAAGAGGAAAGTGGTTTTACAGGGGGAATCTTCTAGACCTGGGCTGCCTCTGAGCTCGTTGCTGGGTCGTGTCCCAGCTGGAGGGGGTGCTCAGGGGACAAGGATGCCATGGGGTGTCCTGGTGACAGACAGTGGTGGCAAAACGTCTGGAGGAAGGGAAGTCCCGGGGATGTGGCCTGTCAGCCTGCATTTGCCTTCCAGACCCTCATCATCCTGCCTGTGATATTAACGGGCTTCTGCAGATTAAAAGTCCTCACTGCACAGCAGAAATTTGCTGGGAATCCTCAAAAAAATAACCCCCCCCTGCCTGTCCGAGGACCACTGCCACTGCCTAAAGCCAAGTTCAACTCAAGTGTTTCTGACAGGTGCTAGTGGAGCAGGTCACTGGCAACAAGATGGTTTTGGGCACAGTTAAAGACGGGAAGTTAAGCTCAGCCTTAGTTCCTGTGTGGCACTGAAGTTGTTGAGATCCGGGTCAGGTTCACTCTCAGCCAACGTTTCCCAGGAGCAGCTGAGATTCAGATCTGGCTGGTGGATTCAGTCTAACTACTTGGGTCAAAATAAGAGTATAGCACCCACTTGTCCTGTTCCCTCCTTCCCTTGTTTTAGAGGAGCTGTTCACCTTGGTAGATAAATAAAGATGCTCGTGGAATATTAAATACCTCCCCAAAGCCCCTGTTGCTGATGAGTGGCTTCTGCACCTCGTTCCCTAGTACACGCAGTGACCTTTTAGAAATGTTGTACTTTGTGATCATATCTAAATGTCTTCTCTCCTGGGAGCATCTTGTAGAGATAGAGATTCAGACATGATGTCTATCAAGAAAAAAAGCAGATTGCGGCCAATCTGTGGCTGCCTGCGCAATATTGCCTGGGCCACGTGCTCAAGAATCATAAGGTTGTCTCTAAAAATAAGTGGTGGCTTCTTTCGAGTTGTCTCCTTGGCATCTTAGCTCATTAGGGAATCCTTGTTTCTGGGTTTTCGCAGCATTTGCGAGGGCTGGGAGTTTCCACGTGGGAGGAAAGTGGAGAGTCCTGTGGTCACGGCTGTTGAGGACTCAGCTAGGACTCAGGATGGGATCACAGGGTGTGAAAACGGCTCCATGAAGACGTCAGTCGTGGCTTTTTCTGGGTAGAAAGGGTAAATCCTCCCTCCACTGAAAGCTCACGTAGTCTTGCTGCTCCAGCATTGTCCCGGCTGGCCCCGAGACCTGGGGCTGTTGAGCAGGGGAGACGCGTGAGATGCAGCAGCTGCCAGTCACAGAAATAACTCCCTTCCGTATAAGGTTTTCATGTTTTTCAAGCAGTTCCCTTAAGTCATGCTTCGGGACGTGTTCTGCAGTGGCCCAGCAGGAGCTTGTCTCCTCACACAGATCTCTACTGCCACGCTTTCTCTCCCCATTTCTGCAAGGCGTCGGGAAAATCTGCTTCTGTTTGAGCTGCCTCCAGAGGGACACAAGGGTGACTGTGGGGAGCACGGCGGCCACGGGTCCCAGCCCTGCTGCTGGACTCTGCCATGGCTTCGGGTGCCGGGTGCTCTGGGGAGCCCCCGGCCTCGGGGTGCTCTGGGGAGCCCCTGGCCTCGGGGCACTCGCCAGGTCCCGCAGGAGGGGGGGGACACGCACCATACGGAGCCTGCCGGGAGCCTTCCCACCCCCAGGGCTGTCCCGCCGCCCACCCAGCCGCTCGGTTCTCCCCTCTGCTCCTCCAGCTCTGCCCTTCTGCCTGCCCCAGCCCGGCTTTGCTGCGGAATGAACTGACCCAGAAAAACATGCTGTGGGTGCACTGAGAGTGGCAGAGGTGGGAGAATTTATTTTCCGGCCAGACTCTGATGGGATTAGGAATAAATCTCTGCTAGGTAATTCTCCATTAGGTCTGGTGGTGGATTTCCTTTCTTCTTACCCCCAGCTCTCTCCTCCTCTCCCTTTTTCAGCTGGATTATTCTCGTGCTTGGTTTGCTAATTGCCTGATCGCTAGAGCCTCGTCAGAGCAAGGCACAGGAACATCACTGGCCTTCTCTGACCCTCTGAGTTTTCTGCCCTTTGTTTACGCCTCAGCTCTGATTTAATGTCCTCCGCTCCCCAGCATAAGCTGAGTTATTTCTGCTGCCCTAAGCAGAG